ACCCGCAAGCATATAAACTTAGGCAAGGGTAGCAGATGAGACGTGTTCGATTGCAAATTTGTAGGCGAGGTAAGAGTGCCGGAGCATACGAGCAGTGTCCGTCTGCAATTAGGAATTTTGTAATTAGGGATTTAAATTTACTTCTTTATCATCATCATCATCATCATCATCATCATTGTCGTCGTCGTCATCATCATTATATTTATATTTAAAAAAAAAAAAAAACACAAACGGTATTCGATTTGTTTTTTTTTTTTTTTTTTTTACCGAACCATTAAGAATTCAATACCGTTCGATTGTTCGGTATATAGTTCGGTTCGGTATGGCTTGGTTTGGTTCGGGTTCCCCGAACTGAATTTCCCACCCATACTTAAAAGCATTCCTAAGTTACGGAATAAAAGATAAGTGACTCTCATATGAGACATGTCTGATCAAAATGGAAATGTAATAATTATATTGAAAATTCTAATACTAATCACGAATAAAGTTTTTATTACTTTAATGGAAAGTGTAATACTTATAGGGGATGTTTGGTTGGATGGAAAAGTTTTTCCATGGAAATTTTTTTCCTTAGAGTGAAGGAAAATGTTGTTTTTTGGTGTTTGGTTCATGGAATGCAAAATAAATTCCTCACATTTGAAGAAAACAAAATCCTTGGTTGGACCAAGGATTTTGTTTTCTATGGAAGATGGAAAAAAAATTTGTAAGGGTCAAATAAGCCCTCAAACATTTGCTAAAGAGTGAGTTAGCCCCTCCAACTTTTTAAAGGTGCAATTACACCCATAAACAATGTATTTTTATGCAATGAAGCCTAAATATAGGTAAATCGCCTACTATCATAGGTCATTGAAGATCCGGCCATTTTCTGACGTATTTTCAGGCAAAAAAGAGACCGGCGACCGTTCGACCGTCGAACGGTCGCCGGTCATGGACTCCGATAACCACTGTGGTCACCTTCTCGCCGGATAAGGCAACCCAAATTTGGGCTGCCTTCTCCGGTCCAGGAGGCCACCAAAGTAGTGGCCTTCTCAACCAGAGAAGGCAACCTAGATTTGGGTTGCCTTCTCCGGCGATAAGGTGATCACAGTGGTCACCGGGGTATGTGACCGGCGACCGTTGATCACTTTTTTGCTTGAAAATACACCGGAATACGTCGAAAAATGGCCGGATATTTAATGACCTATGATAGCAGGTCATTTACCTGTATTTGGGCTTCATTGCATCAAAATGCATTGTTTATGGGTGTAATTGCACCTTTAAAAAGTTGGAGGGGCTAATTGACTCTTTAACAAATGTTTGGGGGCTATTTAACCCGTTTCCCTTATTTTTATTAATTTGTTGGGGGCATATAGGTCTTTATACTCGTTATTCTTTATAATTCTAAATCCAACCAAACAACGGAATCAGTATTCTCAGTAATTTTTTTTACCAACCAAACAATAAACTTCATCTTCCTAGTAATTACTTTTCCACAGAATTTCAATTTCATTTCCCCTAAAATATTTTCCACAAACCAAACGAGACCTTCAGGAAAAATGTAATACTTTTTAATCAAAATGTAAAAGTATTATATTTTTCTTCAAAAGTATTGCACTTTCTTTTATATGTAACAAATACTTAATTTCTTATTAGTATTACATTTTCTAGTATAAGTATTATATTCTCATCTTGATCCAATCTGTCTCACGGACAAGAATCCATAAGACGGTCTCGCACAAATTTTTATCCTCCCGGTTAATAAAGGAGTCTATCTCCTTTAGAAATTTTTTAATAATGTTTTTAATTTTTAAATATATTAAATTGGCAAGGCATCAAAGGAAAAAATCTATACTATATGCCAAGTGTCATGCCATGTTGTCATGTTATCGAAAACTTGTTGTTTACATGCTAATAATGCTAATTGTTGAAATTTTTACTGTTAGATGGTTCAATTGTGTTAGTAATAATAATATAGTATATACTTAATAGATATGTGGTAGTAGATTAGTTGACTCTACCTAACCTACTACCAAATTACACAATTTTTTTTTATTCGAAGATCTAATTAAACAAAGCTCAAAAGTTTGATGGCCTATTTAGCTTTTTTTATCTAATTTAAATGGGATCAACTTTTTGTTTTCTAAATATGCCAACAATTTTATAAGGCTATTAACATCACTAAAATACTCTTTTTAGGTCATCATCATAGTTACCATTTACTAATATTTTCTCTACATCCCTATAATTCTAATTCAATCCTAAAATTATATATATATATATATATATATATATATATATATATATATATATATATATATAACATTTAACATTGTTTTTTCGTGGTATATTAAGTGTTGGTATGTTCTGCACTTAGTAGTGATCTATGGTGCACCACAGTCCACAAAGGACTAGTCTATGGAATTGCGGGTCTGTGATGTACATATTTAAGTGCACCATCAAGCATAGTTAAATGCACTAGCCATTACAAGAAATATATGAGGCTCATGTTTGTTGCACTTATGAGTGGTCTATGGTGCACTTATGAGTGGGTCTATGGTGCACTTATGAACGATCTATGGTGCATTAATGAGTCTCCTATGGTGCAATTTGGAGTGGATACACCACCAAGTATATTTTAATGCCTCAGGCCGCACGACTGCACGATCACCTGAACCAGACTCTATACACACACACGATATCTATCTACTTGGAATGAGTTTTAATAAACGTAAACTCTTTATTTTTAAATTTTCCTTCCTCATTTTCTATTCCATGAAACAAAAAGAAATTTTCTCATTCCAAAACACACACACAAAAGTAAAACAAACAAGGTAAATACAATAATTGACCTTTTAATTTTTTTAAATGGTCCCAAATTCGCAATTCACCTTTTTTTAAAAAAATTAAAAATATATAACACCTTTTAGCTTCTTCTTTTTTTATTAAAAAATTGTACTAAATACAATTATTTTTACAAAATATGACGAGAGAATAAACGAAAGACATGATTATCCAAAATTGAAGTCACAAGCGGAAATGTCTGGCACCCACAGACCACAGTGCGTCGCACCCTTTTGGTCGCCGTTTCGATGGTTGTGTTTTGTCGTTTAGTGATTACAAAACTAAACACTCCACCCAATTTCATCAATTTCCTTAATTTAAACTAGTGTTTGACCCGTGCGATGCACGGGATTTAAATTACATATTATTATTTATGTTTATGTTACGTTAAAAATTGGTTGAAGCAATACAGTAAGAATTTGGAATATAATCATTAAGTATATTTGGGAGCTCAACAAAAACGAACTGAAAATGGTATGTTAGAAATAATATAAAGGTGATGGTAATATAAAAATAATACATTAGAAACAGTATGTAAATTAAAAAGTATTTATTGTATGTATGTTATGTTACAAATTATGTGAACTAATGAGCTTAAAATTGATACCATATAAATGAAATATGATTGGAAATTCAACAAAAACAATATGAAAATGGTATATTACAAATAGTTGCAAGGTCACGGAACTAAGAAAATAGGACTTTACAAAATTACAGATTATTGAAAACCTCATGATATACAACATTAGTGGTTGATGTAGTAGTTGAACTTGGGTCTTTGACTATCAATATTTTGAGACCGTCTGGATTTTTAACCCGAGATGCAGCAACGTACAACTAGCCGTGTACAAAAACCGGTTTCTTTAGTATTAAACCAACATGATCAACGTTTGTCCTTGACTTTTGTTAATAGTCATTGCATATGTAATCATAATTGGGAATTGCCTTCGTTGAAATTTGAACGGCAATCTTGGATCAGAGGGTGACATTGACATTCGGGGGATCAACACTTACGTTAGTGGGAAAAATTTGCAATATTAACAAATAGTAAAAATAATTACAACACGTTTACACAGAATATCCAAAAATACCGTTTAGTAAACAATTACAAATTATTGAAGATTTCATGGTATACTACGTTGGTTGTTGATGTAGCAGTTGTCCTTGATTCGCTGGCAATCAATATTGTAACTCGATCTTTGCTCTTCCGTCAACTTACCACACAACTCTTGAGCCTCCTTTTTTAAAATATCACGATCATATGATAATTCTTCATACAGCAATCGATTACGTACCAAGAACTCAAGTACGTTTTTTTTATGATTTGAGTTTATTATAGTCAACCAACAATTTTAAATCAAATATTGTTGCCCATGGTTTGGTCTATATAGAGCAGTTATAGCGGTTTGTCTTGTAAGACACTAAAGTGTGCTTAATTATTTATGTTAACAACTAATTTTTGGCAGTGCATCGCGTAAATTGGGACTTCAGATACAAACTAATAATCTATAACACTGTAAGTATTAGGACGTGTTGTAAGTATTTTAAATTTGTTAGTCGTTGCCTGGTACATTGGTCGTTGATTATATATTCATACTTGAGTTGTTGGCAATTTGAGCCATCTGTTGGTACTTAGTTGTTTGACAGAAGTTGTTAGAACTTGGTGTTCTTCCAGAGCCCGAACATGTACCACAAAATACGGGCTTATAATTATTTATATAATTTATACACCAGTATATAAATGCACTTGAAGACTTGCTCACCATTAGTAACAAAAGTCAAATGTGTACCAATTGTATTTTAGAAGACAACGACTATTTGCGCACGATTAGACTGATGCGGAACACTATTTATTAACGATGATTCCAGGCCTTCATTGAATATAATATCTTCATTCTCTGCATATAATACATTAATTTTTCAAAGACTCCGTTATAATGAAGTTTATAATCTTCAAACCAAATTATTTTAAATAGTATCAATTCTAATTATGATCTCGTAAAAAAAAGGTTGCTTTTATAAAAATATTTTTTTTTTATATACTAAATCTTATGTCATGAAAAACTGACACACATGTGAAATACAAAAAAAAAAAAAAAAAAAAAAAAAAACTATGTATTCATAACATATTAGTTGACTGTGAGATACAATTTCCTAATTGGGTTGCCTAATGTGGTTCACACAATTTGGTTGACTGTGAGACCCCAACACCTTCAGTAAGCCTTTTCTGCGACTTTGGTTGCCTAATCTACCCCGCTATCTCGCTCGCTGCTCCTCGGTTTATCTTCGCCGTGAGCTACTCTCTATCTTCACAGGAATGGTTCTATACTTCCTCAGTCTACTATGGCACTGTGAAGAAACCCTAGCCTTCATTAGAAAGGTTACAGATCATGTTGTTAATATGGGAATCTGAGTGCAATTTCTGGTAATTTCATCCTATTTTTTGTTGTTCTTTCATTTCTGAGAAAGCCATGTTTAGGATCTTTCTTTCAATCGGTGAAGGATTAGCTAAATACCCCTTGACTATGAAGATGACTAAGTCTTGAACACCGGATTGCGACATGCAAAACAGGTAATGTCGCAATATCAGTGCAGAGGTTTCGCGACTACTTTAAATGCTTACCGATTCCGAATTGAGTTGTGTAACAGTTCTCTATCTGTTTTTTTATGCGCTCTATATTTGCGATAGTGTATTTTTCCCCCAAAAATTGGAGAATATGAATCTAAGTCTAGGGTTTTAGCGAATTCTTTGTCCGATTTGCGATTCTGGGAAGAGACATATGCTAAGCTTGGCGCTAACCATGGTAGAAGTGGCAATCGGTGACTTGAGTTCAAATCGTTTTAGTAACCCTCACTTTTGAGATAAGTTTCAATCTACTTCATTTTAATTTTTTTATAAAAATTGTATAAAATTGAGTAGATTATTTTCGTATTTGAACTGATTCGTAAGCATGCATGATAATGTTGAGCCGATAAATTGTTTATTTGTAGTGTTCACAATTTACACAGAGAGCTTAGAAAAGAGATAAGTTTTCCTACTACTACAATTAAACATGTAATAGTGTATGATTGAATACATGTTTTTACTACTTTTTTGATAGTTTATGTAATGCATCTGAAGGAGACATGCCTTTTGTTTGATCACACTGTTTCCTCTTGGGTCCAATTGTGCAAGATGATGTAATTCTCCTCATGTTCTGCAATAGAAATGGTTTAACTACTGTGTTTTTGATAGATTGAGTTTATTGTGTTCAAACCATTGTTGTCAATCTAAGTCATATTTATATTGGTTGTGTATTTATAGGGAAGGTAAACTGCTTTGTCTTGAAAATGATGGTTCAGGGTTTAATTATTCATGTTATCAAGTACATAGAGAACCTCAAAGGTTTTTGAAAGTGTTGTGTATTAATCCCAAAGAAAAAATTTGATTTTTTTGTTTTTATTTTAATGAAGATGAAAGGTTAATGTATGTGGTTATAGTTTTATTTATTTAGGTGGTGACACTTTTTACTCTAACTAAATATATATTTTTGTGCATTCTATGTCATAAAATGATTGTCACTTGGGGCTTCATTTGAAAACTGGATTAAGAAAAAATTTGTATAAGTGTATATAAGTTTGACTTCATTTAAACTTTTTAAAATCGATTTTTGCAGGGCATCTTCAATTCGATTTTTGTAGAGGTAATGTTACTTTACTCATTTTCTTAAAACATTTACTACTGGAAGTGTTTTATGTCTTTTTTTCAAAAAAAAAAAATGATCTTTGATTTCCCATTGAAGGTGTTGGGGTCACAGATCAAAGATCTTACCTGACCCAAACGTAAACTTGGGAACCAAACCGAGTATGCAGAAGGGATCTTGTACAGTGTTTAAATGTAAGTTTAAAATTGTTATTTTAATTGTGAGTTCAGAATTGTTTTGGTGCACTAATATATAGGATATTCGAATTTTATTCTTCTAATTTACTAACCACAGTTGTAACAATAAACTTGACAGGATGCTCCAAAGTTGTGAGGGCGAAAGGGATACACATTGTGATATTGTTTTGGAAGGCAAAGCAGGTAACATAAGTATAAATTCAAATTTTATATATTAAATAGGGAGGCATGCCTGTATTTTTTCTTTTTTTGAAGGAAAACATCTGTTAAATGTGTTTTGTTATTATTAGATATGTATTTGATTGCATTTGTTATGAATGGCTATTTCCAATTATAAGCATCTTCCACCCAATTTAAGTTTCTAGAATATCACTTCATACATTACTTGTGATTATAATACAAATCCTCGATAAAATATTTTTTGTATTTTGCACAGTCCTAGAGTATTCGATGTGGTAAGTGGTACTTTTGATATAAATAAACACTTTAGATATAGTTAGATTTGAAAGTAATACATTTTTTTGTAATAAGAGTAATACATTACCATTAATAACCAAGATATCATGTATTTTACATGGTAAATATTTAAAACTATCATTCTGTTTACATGGCAAACAATATTACAGAAAAAGAAAGAAAGAATTTTTTTTGAATCTTCATGCATGAACTATGCTGGTTGAAATTTGTTTTTTACAGTCTGATTGAACTCATGCTATCATTTGTTATGTGTGATGACTTGGTATATTTGTAGCCCAAAAACCTGCAAAATAGACAAACAAAGACAAAGAAACTACTGATTTCAAATTAGAGATTACAAATATTAATGTCCAACATGAAGTTGTTGGCTACTGGTACTTTGCTTTGGTAGCCCTGTCATTTGATTATTGTGATTGTGTTCCTGCTGAGCTTGTGTTTTTGTCCTGCTGAGATTGTGTTTCCTTCCTAATCTGTAAAAGTACTTGAATGGCTAGGTATTCTATAGTTAGTCATGTCACCTGCATTTTAATTAGGAATATGATAGAAAGCAGTTATTTTAAAACAAAAGTCAAGTACTTTTACAACCTAGCCAACAAACACTTAGGCAAAAACCAATAAAGTAGATAAATGAGTTCACCCCCTAAGTTCAGAATAATGTCTAATAAAAACCAAAAGACCATAGTTCAATTGACAGTCACAATCTTGTCTTTCACAATTCTTTCAATTCCTCTTGTTTCACACCAACCTCCTTGTTCGTTTTGGAACACTGAAGACTCGAGAATTCCCCAGTGTCTTTTTGGAATTCTGAGTACTAAACAATTCGTCAATTAAGGACCTTTTGAGAGCACCGGCTTCATATCCATTAGCATCACCAGTAAGGCTCTGAGGAACAGCTTGCATAAGACTCTGTGCTTGCTTGACATCCACCTCATACTACATAGGAAATGAGCTTGAGTTTAGGTACAGTCAATGATTAGAGACCAAGTTACCAAGCATTAGCAAAAATTGTTAAGAGAAAATTACCTCATCCTCCGACAGATCATCGATTGTAAGCTCAAACTCCAAGTTGGAGCTTAGGTCTTTATCCCTTCTTCCATGCATAAACTCTGGGGCATGTAGCTCTAACACTTCCACATCACTTATAATCTTCAATACAGAAATTGGATTTAGGAGGTTTAGAAATTGTTCTTTTCGGACAGCAATTCTGAAAATGAACCTGAGACCAATCAATGCTTCAACCTTAGCAGGAACACCTTTTTTTCCCTACAGTTAAAAAAATAACATGAAGTAATTTGTAATTCAGATTCTAGGGCACAAAAAAAATCAGAGTCTTAAAGATTTTATAACATAACAAAAAATTGACCTGTGTCTGCTTCTGTTTCAATTCTAGGGCACTCATACCCAATAACTCAGTGCACTCCCTGTCCCACATGACAAATGGAGCATTTCCATTTATGTCAAAAACCCTGATTTTAACCCTATATCTCAACATCCCATCTTCCCAAGTTTCGTCACAATTTTTGCAGTAGAGGTACTCTTCTTTTGGCTCCAACTTCTTGTAGCATGATTTTGACCGACATGAAGAATAATACAACTCACTATCAGTGTCAATGCAAACTATTCTAGCTGCTACCCAAAAGTCCCCAATCTGTTGCACATAAGAATTTAGCATGATTTTGACCGACATGAAGAATAATACAACTCACTATCAGTGTCAATGCAAACTATTCTAGCTGCTACCCAAAAGTCCCCAATCTGTTGCACATAAGAATTTAGATATTAGGGTAATTAAGTTTTTATTTTGAACAAATTTATACTACAATTTGTTTGATTTGAATCACTACCTCTGTCCGAGCATACACTTCTGATAGGGTTATTAGTTGTAAATCACCATTATATGAAATCCTTGGTTTGATACTGGACTGTGAAACAATACTCCTCATCGGGGTCTGTTCAAGCAGGACGTGCCTATAAAAAAAATATAAAATAACACGATATAATTTTCCCAGATTTCGAACTGTATTTGCACGGGATGGATATCCCCTCATATTATTTCATGATGTAATCTCTGTAATATGATATATTTTTCCTAGATTACCAACTTAATTTCAAAGAAAAATTACTTGCAGATCACTGGTGTAGATGAGCGTGTTTGATTCGAAGATGAGCACTGGTGTACCAATGCTTCGACTGTTATTTAAATATACATGGCCTGCACTATCGTTGGAAAACCCAATTCGGCGTAATGAATATGTGAACATAATTGTTTACATAAATATGTTATCGGAAAACGCAGAGACCAACCTATTTCAAATTAGGTCTTTAATTTGATTGGTTGAAATTGATTCTGTAAACCAAAAATAAAAGGAAACAATTTTTTTTAAAAGTCTTTTGGTAACTGAACGGTCTCATGGATTCTTACGCAATATCAATTAATATTCTTCTTTTCTGTAAACGGCGTCGTTCCTTTTAGGCGGGAGTTTTTTGCTCCTATTATTTTGCTTTAATATAGATAGAGATTTGGAGAAAAACGTTTTTTTTTTTAATTTAAAAAAAAAAGCGATTATTAATTGTTCCTTTCGCTTATATAGCAAATAGAACACCACTATGCTATGAAAGCTGTTATAAAATAATATTTTATGTCTCAAATTTATGAAGACTGGGTCTCTTGCAATTGTCCACGTCTCATGCAACATGACTTCACGTTACTACACAATTCTTCCGTGTTTAGCTCACATCCCTTTGCATCCCATTTTTTCTCTTCTTTTGAGTGTATAAATAGGCAGTAGTGTTTTCTTTGTACATTGCTCATTATTACATAAATAGAAAATTCTTTCTCTTTCTTTGTCCCCACGTTGACTTAATATATATATATATATATATATATATATATATATATAGGGATGCACTCAGGTGCGAATAAGTGTTCAGGAGGGAAATGCGTACGAATCAGCGCGCGACACGTGTCCAAATCTAATAACTTAAAAAAAAATGTGGTGGCATTTTCGTAAATAATTGAACATCGAAGTGCAAGTAAAATCACTTACAAGTGCACCTACTTTCACCTATAAGTGCATGTAATTTTGCCTTGTTAGCATTCACTTTCCGCAAACAGTCATGCACTTGGGTGTGCTTATAACTCTATGTGCAACTATTTATAACTATAGGTGCAACTACTTATAACTATAGGTGCACATACTTTCACCTATAAGTGCATGTAATTTTGCCTTGTTAACATTCATTGATCTAAGTTCAGCGAGTAGTAATACCCCTGAAAATCACTCGCAAACATTCATACACCTGGGTGCAACTACTTATAACTATGTGTGCAACTACTTAGAACTATAGGTGCAACTAAGTATTGATGCTCAGTGTAAATTTTTACTTGCACCTATAATACATTTTACATGCACTTGTAATACATTTTACTTGCACTTTGATGTTCAATTATTTACGAAAATGCCACCGTGTTTTTTTAAAAAATCAGTGTTTCTCATCCATTAGATCTGGACACGTGGACGGACAGAATCTATTCTTTTATGCCTAATTATTTTGTCTTTTAATATACTTTCCCTATTATTTAACTTCTATAATTCTCAATTTTCGATTCTTCGCTTCCGCAATATTCCATGGATGCATCAATTTCTATTTTGGTCTATCATCATCTTTTAAGTGTAGCTATTACTATTTTGGTCTCGAACTCGCGGCCTTTCGCTTACGAAATACCACTATGGTATGAAAGCAATTTCTATTTTGGTCTATCATCATCTTTTAAGTGTAGCTATTACTATTTTGGTCTATCATCATTTTTTAACTATAGCTCCCAGCGAGGATCGAACTCGCGACCTTTCGCTTACGAAGCGAACGCAATACCACTATGCTATGGAAGCAATTTCTATTTTGGTCTATCATCATCTTTTAAGTGTAGCAATTTCTATTTTGGTCTATCATCATTTTTTAACTATAGCTCCCAGCGAGGATCGAACTCGCGACCTTTCGCTTACGAAGCGAACGCAATACCACTATGCTATGGAAGCAATTATTATTATGGTCTATCATGTCACAATAATAGTTACCTTTGTATTAAACATTGTTCTTCCAAGTTTGCTAAAAATGGAACGAATAAGGTGTAGGAAGTTTATAAACTATTATGGTCTATACACACCTGAACCAAGCTCTATCCGCTTTAAGTTTGTAAATATTCAAAATTCATCATCTCAACTAAAAAAATTCAAATCATAACATGTGCAATTTTTATGTTTTAAAAAGTAGTTGTCATGACAAACTGGACCAAAGTAGCCACCTTGTTGCATAAGGATGACATTGAGGGTGCTTAGCAATTGGCAAATAATTGATAATTGATAGTATATTATGTTAGTTATTTTCATTCTCTGATAGTATTAGCGGTTTGTAGAAAGGTATTTAATATATATTAGATGTTTGGCATTTAAAATAATTTATAAGGATATGAATATATTATTTTGGTTATTTAACTATTCTTAAATTAATGTCTAATGTTGAGTTTCCTAATTTAAACATTTTTAACTTTTTACTTTTCTCAATTTACCATTTACAGGGTGTTTTGTTGGAGAGGGGGAATTACGTGGAAAATGAATTGTAATTTCATGGGAGATGAATTACTTGGAATAAAGTGGGAATTTAAATTCCAGTGTTTGGTTTACATGAATAGAACTACTGGGAATTTCAATTCCAATGTTTGGTATACATGGGAATTAAAAGTGAATAAGTAGTAATATAAAGTCAAGAATGTCCATTGTTGTTGTTAGACATTAATTTTAGGTTAAAAAAGGAATGGATAATTTTGACTCATCACTATCTTTTTTTCTTCCTAAAATTCCAGGAATTAAAATCTCGGGGGGGGGAGGGGGGGGGAGGGACATGGGATTTTAATTCCATGAAAATGGGGGTTCCATGGAATTACAATTCCTTTCAACCAAACAAGAGAATTTTCTGGCATTTGGAATTATGTGGGAATTAACAGGGCGTTTGGTTGGAGAGGGGGAATTACGTGGGAAAAGAATTGCAATTCCATGGGAGATGAATTACTGGGAATAAAGTGGAAATTTAAATTCCAGTGTTTGGTTTACAGGAATAGAATTACTGGGAATTTCAATTTCAATGTTTGGTATACATGGGAATTAAAAGGGAATAAGTAGTATAAAGTCAAAAATGTCCATTGTTGTTGTTAGGCATTAATTTTAAGTTAAAAAAGGAAGGGGTAATTTTGACTCATCACTATCTTTTTTTCTTCATAAAATCTCAGGAATTAAAATCTCAGGGGGGCATGGGATATTAATTCCATGAAAATGGGGGAATTGCAATTCCTTTCAACCAAACAAGGGAATTTTGTGACCTTTGGAATTATGTGGGAATTAAGTGGGAAGAGAATTTAAATTCCCTTCAACCAAACGCCATGTAAGTGGGAAGGGATTTAAATTCCCTTCAACCAAATGCCCTATTATTCCTTTTAATTTTTATAAGTGGGCAGCAATTCACCTCTTTTTAAAAAATAAGTCTGGTATAAATTTATACAAAATATTACATTTTAACTAAAAGATATTATAAGTCTCACGTCCTTTTGAAAAAGAAAAATATATTATAAGTTTCATTGTGATATGGTCTCACACAAGATTTATTGTTAAAAATTAAATTAAAATGGGCATCACACCCTAATTATTTTTTTAAAAATGTACTAAATAGAATTATTTTTACAAAATATGACGTGAGAATACACAAAAGAAATAAGGTTATCCAAATTGAAGTCACAAGCGGAAGTGTCTGGCACCCACTGACCACAGTGCATCGCACCCTTTTGGTCCCCCTTCAATAGTTGTCCTTTTGTCGTTTAGTGTATACAAAAACAAGCTTCCAAACACCCCACCAATTCCATTAATTTTCTTATCTTTCTTTTCCTAGGTTGAATCCCGACCTCAAAACAGAATATTTAAAAATATGTAAATTACGGTGACTTAGTGGCTCAGCAAATAAGGCAAAATCTCACATTGTGATCGTCGTGCGGGCTAATTTTCTTAGGTTAAAGTGTCATCCCGCACCTTGAACCATTTGTGATTATTCATCCCGCACCATAAACTGTAAAAAGTGATATTTCGAGCCATCAACCAAAATTTTTTTTTCACCTAGCACTTTTTATAGGTTGTCCGGTAATAACGATGACATGGCACCGGTTTCAACTGCTGATGTGGCCTTTTTATCTAGTCAACGAGTTGTTAGTGTCATCCCGCACCCTGAACCATTTGTGATTATTCATCCCGCACCATGAACTGTAAAAAGTGATATTTCGAGCCATCAACTAATTATTTTTTTTCACCTAGCACTTTTTATAGGTTGTCCGGTAATAACGATGACAAAGATGGAAGGTAGGCATTGGACGAATTTATATTTCAATTTTGACTGCATTGGCAGTTTACCACTAGTAGTTTGACTGCGTTATCAATGTCTATGTTTAATGGAATACATTGGCATGTTACCATTGGCAATTTACCACTTGTAGTTTTACAAACATTACATTGGCAGTTTACAAACATCTTTGAAAAATAAAAAATATTGAAAAATCAAGAAACAAAAATAAGAAAAATATGGAGAAATTGGGAAAATGTACAAAAGAAATAGAAAAATTGAAATATAAATTCGTCCAATGCCTACCTTCCATCTTTGTCATCGTTATTACCGGACAACCTATAAAAAGTGCTAGGTGAAAAAAAAATAATTAGTTGATGGCTCGAAATATCACTTTTTATAGTTCATGGTGCGGGATGAATAATCACAAATGGTTCAGGGTGCGGGATGACACTAACAACTCGTTGACTAGATAAAAAGGCCACATCAGCAGTTGAAACCGGTGCCATGTCATCGTTATTACCGGACAACCTATAAAAAGTGCTAGGTGCAAAAAAAATTTAATTTGGTTGATGGCTCGAAATATCACTTTTTACAGTTCATAGTGCGGGATGAATAATCACAAATGGTTCAGGGTGCGGGATGACACTTTAGCCATTTTCTTATGTTTCTTTAGAGATTTAGTTGTCCTTTGTGTAAAAATTTATCACGATTTCTAATTTCTTATATCACTTGTACTTTTATTTTAAATATGAATTATATAAACATATGTAAAATTTAAAAGGAATTTAACAAGCATTCAAAAAAAAAAAAAAGGAATTTAACAATGACCAAATTATAAGTTTGAATAAAATGGATTAAGCCAAGCATATTGTCGAAATTAATTTACACTCTCTTATCTTTTATACCGCACAATTCAAACTCTACTAAAAAGAATTTTGTATTTATACTAGTGCAAGCTTACTTTTCGTTTCCAATATGCGACAAATCCAAGGAAAAACTAAAGAA